AATGAAAACTCAAAGACGACGGAAACTATTTTTGTGTACAGTTGTGTAGAAGTATGACTGGAGATAAGTGAATATGCTCTGAGAGAATATACTAGAAGAGCTTAGCAAAGTGGGCTGGCAGCCCTGAGACATTTCTTCCCCTGAATGTAAGGCCAGACAGAGTTCAGTCTCCCAGGAAAAGGGAGGAAGGTCAGACAACCCATCTTGCTAGTGTTTATGGCACATGCCTGGGAAAAGGACAAGAAGAAGAAAGATATTTCCTTTCTCTTGCTGTTTTCTCATCTACTAGGGGCAATGTTTTAGGTAACCTTTCCAGAAGTCACCATTAGGTACATCCAATAAGACTTTCTTCAAATTGCCACAAATGACATCATGAGGTTTGCAGGCAAATGAATGGAACTAGAAAGTATCATCTTGAGTGAGGTAACCCAGACTCAGAAGGACAAACACGGTATATACTCACTCATAAGTGGATACTAGATATAAAGCAAAGGATAACCAGACTGCAACCCACAGCTCCAGGGAGGCTAGCTAGTAAGGAGGACCCTAGGAAGGACACATGGATTGCCCAGTGATGGAGAAATGGAGGAGATCTACATGAGCAAAGTAGGGGTAAGGGGAGGGTAATGGAGGGCAAGGGACGGGGAATGAGAGCTTAGGGAAGTGAGAGGTTCAAGCTGGAATTGGAGCAGAGTGGGAGAACAAGGAAAGAGATACCATGATAAATGAAGACACCATGGGAATAGGGAGAAACAGAGTGCTAGGGGAGGCGGGGTTCCCAGGAATCTACAGAGATGACTCCATCACAGACTACTAGCAATGGTCAAGAGGGTGCCTGAGCTGGTATACCCTGGTGATTGGATGGCTGAATACCCTGACTGTCATCATGGAGCCCTCATCCTGTGACTGATGGAAGTAGATGCAGAGATCCACGATCCACGGCTGGGTCCCAGGTGGAGTTCCAGGAGTTCAGTCGATGGGGGAGAGGAGAGATTCTCTGAGCAAGGGATATGGAGACCATGACTGGAAAAAGTAGAGACTACTATCCAAACTAGTGGAAATGCATGAATTGTGGACCAATAGCTGAGGAGGCCCCATGGTACTGGACTGGGCCCTCTGGATAGGTGATACAGTTGTTTGGCTTGAACTGTATAGGGGGCCCCCAGGCAATGGGATCAGAACCTGTCCCTAGTTCATGAGCTGGCCTTTTCGAACCTAGTGCCTATAGTGGGACACTTTGTGCAGCCTTGGTGCAGAAAGGAGGAGCTTGGACCTGCTTCAATTGAATGTACCAGGCTCTGCTAACTCCCCATGGGAGACCTTGCCTTAGAGGAGGTGGGAATGGGGGATGGATTGGGGAGGGAAGGCTCGGGGGCGGGAGGAGGGAGGACAGGGGAATCTGTGGTTGGTATGTAAAATGAATAGAAAATCTCTTAACAAAAAATTTTATTTAAAAAAAACAAATTGTCACAAATTTAGCCTAGACAACAGCAGTCGCTGTTGCAGACCTACTACAGTCTCTGTTGCAGACCTACTGTATGTTTTCTTTCTTTCCTTCCTTCTTTCTTTCCTTCCTTCTTCCTTCCTTCCTTCCTTTCTTTCTTCTTTCTTGTTTTGTTTATTTGAGAGAGGATATCTCTATGTAGTCCTGGTTGTCCTGGAAATCACTATGTAGACCAGGCTGGCCTTGAACTCACAGAGATCTGCCTGCCTCTGCCTTCAGAGTGCTGGTATTAAAGGCATGTGCCACCACTCCTGGCCCTAGAGTCTACTGTATGTTTTCATCTCACTTAACAATTTCATTCTAGTGCTAAAGAGATGGCCCTGCTGTTAAATGCACATGTAGTCAAAACCACATATGGACATTGGATCCCAAATGATAGGAAAGAATTGATTCCTGCAAGTTGTCTTCTAGCATGCACAAGTTGTATGCTTGAGTACACACAAAATTAGTAAATGAACAAATGTAATTTTAAAATTCTATTCTAGTATAAATTATAATTTTTTCACTTATACTATTATAAAAAAGATTTAATTACAACTTCATGTCACTAATTAAGAGATTTGTAAAACATTTTCTCAAGAATTAGTCCATTTCTCTAAATGTGAATATTTGCAAGTTATCAGTGAATATACTAAACTGATGTTATTGTTTTTAAATGAAATAGATAGAAAAAGCCTTTTCATAAATCATGAAAATGCAGTCAATAATCACATTTAAAATTACTTTTGAAGCAAAGATTTTTCAAACCTGTACTATACTGGGTTGTTTGCAGTTTACTAAATCTAAGAAAGAATGTCATGTTGTAATAATTACATATTTTTTCCAAATTAAAATTTAAGATACTGAACAAAATGTGAAGTGTACAGTTTCCATACCCTTAGGACTCACTGAGTGCCAGCTGTAAAACATGTCAAAATCCTAGCATCTTATAGTTCCATACAGAACTCTTCTTTACTGCCTTGCACTCCAGGAGTTCCCTTTGATGTGCTTCTGGCCTAATTTTCTAAGACAGAAATATCAACCTGTTTCTTCTCAAAAAATATGTCATTTCACTTTGAATACTAAAATTTTTGAGGCCAAGACTGTATTTCCTATGATGAGATCCCAGAGATTCATTCTGATACCCAGGTACCTGTATGCATTTGAAAAAGTGATCCATATTTCATACTCCTAAGACTTTTATTTCAAATGGCCCTACCACTCATCAGGAAATGTTGTATCAGGACTTCAGAAACATAAAGGCTTTTCCCATGAATTTCTATTGAACTGAAGGGATCTAAGATATTCCATTGCAACATACTTTCTGTGTTATAGGCCTTTGAGATTATGTGTCCCCTGCCTTAAACTTTCTTTTTCTTCTTTTGTTTAGTTTTTGTTGATTGAGACAAGATCTTGAACTCACAATCTCAGCAATCCTCCTGTTTTAGCCTCCATTGAGTACTAGGATTACTGGAATGAGCCACCACACCTGGGTTTGAACTTCCTCATCTATAGCAAACAATGTCAAAACAAAATTGTGTTGTCGTAGGAAGCTTGACTGATGACAGAAGAAAGCTCCATACCCATGCAAACATCCCTCATCCATTGGTTCCTTTTTTCTTTCATTTGAAGGGTCAGGGCCAACATAAATATAAGCAAGAGTTAAAAGGAAAAAATATTACATTCTCATTCAATTACATTTAACATGATCGGGGAGGCTTCCAAAAGAAAGACCCAGAAACACAGCACAATGGCCACAAGCCTATAATTCCAGCACTGAAGACAAGAGGTAGAGGGAATCAGGAGTTCAAGGTCATCCTCAGCTCTGGAACAAATTTGAGGCCAACCTGGCTGCATGAGACCCTGTGTCAAAAGACAAAAGAGAAATAAGGACCCAGGTAAAACTGAATATTTTTATGCTTTGTTTTTGAGGGAGAATAGACAGCTATGGAGAAATGTGATTAGAAACAAGGTCTGATCTAGCTTCAGTGGCAGAAACTGCAGTTGAGTGCAAGAGACACTCAACATGGCCTATGTACAAAGATGCTTGTTAGCTTCTGTGCTATATTCATTCATTTCTGGTTTGGGACAGAAGCCTTTGGAATGAATCTTCAAGGGGGATGGGAGAAAATGATCTATCTAGGTTTAATGACTTACTTTTGGTAAAATTTTAGGTTATATGATTTGCTGTGAAAAAGAGGAATTTATTCCCACAACTCAATTCAGGAGAGTAAAGGATTGGAAATTAGCAAGAAAAGGTCAGTGATACCTCAGAGAACTTTACAGTCCTTTAGTTGAAAGAACCTATAGCATGCCAAGTTGCCTCACATGCTTCTAGGATCATTTTCTGAAACTTTATCCTTCTAAAGACTCATTTTTCTTTCCTTCTTTCTTTCTTTCTTCCTTCCTTTCTTTCTATTTATTTATTCATTTTTGTTGTTGCTCATATATCTTTACTTGCAAGTGTTCATTGCAAAGAATTATTGGTCTGGTTCATGGCCTCTGGTTTGTGCTACACTATTGATGCTGGGCCTTAACTGGAACTCCTCTTGGAGTTCCTTGTATTGTGGAAATCCTGCAGCTTTGGGCCTGCAGAAAGGGTCCCTTCACATGCTCCAGCAGATCACAGATGGGCTGGATATTAGGATAGCCAACCCCTAACACTGTTTCTGGACTGGAGAGTTGCAGCGTTAGTCAGCCCACCAGGTCTCCCTTGTCCTCACTACTAGTGTGGGCTCTCCTGCATTGTCTTGTAGAGTTCATCCTTTGCAGCAATGAGCAATGGTCAGGGCCAGTTCTCCTGCTTTCCTACACCTTCAGGGTCAGCTATACTATGTTGCCCAGGTGTGGTGTAGGGGCCATTCTCCCTGAGTACTGGAGCAGATGAGGGGCAGTGACAGCTCTCCCACTCTTCTAACCTCAGGCCAACTCTTCCACCTGCCTTACGCATTAATGGGTGGGGAGGTGGGAAGTCATCTCTCCCCCACCAATGCTGCCACATGAGAGATGAGTAATGGGGATAGTTCTCTCATGCTCACAACTTTGAGGCTGGCTCACCCACACCTTCACCAACAGGATTGGCTCTGTTGTGCTTCCCAGTCAAAATGCAGGGCCTGCTCTCCTGAGTGTTGCAGCTGATGACTGGCAGGGCCAGCTCTCCCACCTGCCTCAGGTGTTGATGGAATTGAGGGAGATCATTTACATTTCTTAAAAGTAATTAATTTTTTCCATAAATGCCATATCCTCCTATTAACATGATATATAATAGTTTCAAATTCTAACTAGCTGCAGTGTTCCCTCTTGGTAATGATGGGAAATATAAACAAAGGCACCAGCAGAGTGGTTAAAACATGCAAGAACTCCATAGATGTTTTCTGAGTGGTAAGTGAATGAGAGAGGTGTAGTGGGTAGCCATTCCAGCTTTGGTCTGGAAGTTCCAACCTCCATTGAGGCTTGGTAACTATCACGCCTACAAGGCGGGGCCAAGGGAGGGCCCTGAAGATCCGAGATGGAGCAGCGCTCTCTTGTTTCCTGGACCTGGAAGCTAGAGGTAGACCACGGGGAGTTCTCCAGAGAACACCACCAGACTGCGCTGCATCTTTTCCAGAACCCTCCACCTACTTATCCCTTCATTTGTAAGTTACCCACTAAATAAATCTTCCTTTTAACTACGTGGAGTGGCCTTAATAATTTCACCAATAGAGAGGCCCTTCACCTGTCAATGTATCATTTGTTACATGGAAACACTGATCTTCCATCTAAGTTTTGGGAGTGGGCCTCAGTGGAAGATCATGGCAGTACAAATACAGCATTAATATCAACAAATTCTACTTAGTGAATAATGCCTAAACATTTTAAATATTTACTATTACTGCTTCTTATGTAATATCAATTTAAAAGGTCTTATAGAAATCTTTGACAGTGGTTTCCTAGGTGGGGGATGGTCTTGCTGCCAAAGACATGAAACTTGGTTCTTGGGGGTGGGGTGTAGCAAGAATCTTAAAAGTTCTTATTAATATGATCAAACCTGAGGCCAGTTATTGGGGTGAATACTGGAAGATCGGAGAGACAGAACAAGCCACAGTTAACCTCACCTGGCCAACTTCTCAGCTGATCTTGTTTCCTTAGACTGGAAGCCTCTGTGTCCTCATATCCGAATGGCTCTCAGCTGAACTGTGCTGCTCAAAACCTAAAAGCTTAACCATCCAAAATGCTTGTAGTTTCTGGTCTTCATGCCTTATATATCTTTCTGTTTTTGCCATCACTCCCTGGGATTAAAGGCTCAATTCTTGGGATTAAAGGCATGTGTCACCATACCTGGCTGTTTCCAATGTGGCCTTGGACTCACAGAGATCAAGAGGGATTTCTACCTCTGGAATGCTAGATTAAAGGTGTGAGTGCCACCATTTTCTAGCCTTTGTATCTAGTGGCTATTCTGTCTCTGACCCCAGATAAGTTTATTAGGGTGCACAATATTTTGGGGAATACAATACCACCACAGTGGGGTGCTGAAATATGTCTCAGATTATCTATCCAATAGCTTGTGGTCCTTTACAGTACATAAACTCTTCTGCAGTATATTAGTATTTTTAGAATATCCTATAGAGATGGTCAAAAAGAAAAAGAAATGCACAGCTAGGCATGATGTTATAAGCCTATAATGCTAGAAAATTACAAATCTAAGGCAGGGGGATCACAAATTCAAGTTCCTCACTGATTGTATATAGGGAATTATGACAAGCTGGGCAAAAGAAATTTAACAGCCTGATTTTGGTGGGACAGCCAAAGACAGCTTGCAAATCTCAGAGCTCCATTCTCCAAAATATCAATTTGGATGATTCTGGTTCATTGTGACAGTGGTTACTTCAGTGGATACTGAAAACAGACTACCTGGTTTGAAGCATAGCTCAGTTATCAATAATATATGATCTTGAAGTAGTTAACTATCATCCTCATTCCTCATGTTTTTCCATCTGTAACATGAGTACTAAAATACGTATCACTTAGAACTGTGGTGAGGGACATAAGACCTGGCCCATATTTTTTAAAAATAGTAAAGGCCACGCTGCCTTTGTGAAAAAACTTTAGTGCCATGTAATCCACAAGTTTAAGGCCAAAAATTATACTACATCCTTCAATAGACAATAAAAAGGAAGGGAAAACAAATTGAATATAGAATGAGTCCAGATAACTCGACATGTAAAAGTACTTGCTGTAGAAGTCTAATGACCTGAGTTCAATTCCTGGCACCTATAGTGGAATGAGAAAATTGATTACTGAAAGGTTCTTCTGTCTTCCACACCTGTGCAGTGGCATGTAGGTCAACATGTACACACAGACACACACAGAGAGAGGGAGGGAGAGAGAGAATGAGAGAGAGAGAGAGAGAGAGAGAGAGAGAGAATTAAAAATAAATAGAATGTAGAAGATACATAACATTCCCATAACATGAGCTCCTTCATGTTAGTATTATTTGTTTAAAAATGTTTAATTACACAAATAACACACACACACACACACACACACACACACACACAGAGTCCTTTTGTCCTCCCTGTATCTCAGCTCTACTTTTATGAAGCAAGCTCTTTTAATTTAAAAACTTCCTTGGCTTCCTAGGACACAAGGATTGGCTCAAGAAACTGAGGTGTTAAGTGACAGATTCTACTGGCCTCAGATAAGTCTGGCTATCTGCCTATCCAGTGCAGTCAAGAGATACTTTATGCAAATAACATGGTTTGCAAGATAATAGCAACGCTGGGAATGGCATGTTCCCTCCTAAAGGTCAGCCCTAGGTTTCAAGGATGTAGAACTATATGCAATTCCTACAGAAGCCTAAAAGAAAAAAGATTCTCTCTCTCTCTCTCTCTCTCTCTCTCTCTCTCTCTCTCTCTCTCTCTCTCTCTCTCTCCTCTCTCCTCTTTCCTATTCCTATGTGGTATGAGACAGACCCTCTCATATTTCTGTACAAGCAATATGATAAAGAATTTCAATTATTTCCTTCAGCTTCCAAAGTTGTGTGCTTGAGCTGTGGCTATGGGGGTGTTGGTGCAGAATGGAAAATGAGTAATACCAAAGTAACTGCCCTCAGCTGGAGATTACTGTTGCACTTATTAAGGAAAGTCAGTTTTCAATTATGTGTGCTAATGAGGTCCAGGAACAAGATAGGTTATTGAAATACATAAAGAATTCCCAAAACTCATTTAGAAAATATTTCAAGTTTCTTGAACTTGTGAAAATGAAAGGACCAGACTGGAATAATTGCTCAACTTCTGTTGTTTCCAGCCTTAGAGTGAGTGGGATGAGCCATTACCCTGCTCAAATGGTGTGTGCTTACTTCATTTGCTCTCTGGGCCAGGCACTCACAAAATTCCTTCCCTGAGGTATCCAGTTGGTGCCCTGGCTCCATTTATGTTAGAACCATACCTACCTTTCCATTTTGAAGCTTATTTTATGACCAGGAAATGGCAGTCAGGGTTTAAAATCAGTTATTTTTAATTCCAAGTATAATCAATCATTTATGCCATCTTCACTGTCTTATGAAAAAGTTGGAAAGAGGGCCTAGAGAGATGGTTCAGGAGTTAAAAGTACGTGGTGCTATTGCAGAGTACCTAGGTTCAGTTACCAGCACATTTATAGCTGCTAACAACCATCTGTAACTCCAATTTCAGAGGATCCAATGCCTTCTTCTGGCTTCCTCTGGCACTGCACATGCTACACAGACACACACATAGGCAAAACACGCATATATATGAATAAAAATAAATAATTTATTTCTTAAGCTGAGAAAACTTAGAAAAATGTCTAGTTAGAGTAATCTGGTTGTTAATCAAATTAAATATTTATAATTTTCATTTCAAATTAGTTAAACTTATGTGTCCATAAGAAACCTGCCCTCCTTCCTTCCTCTCTTCCTCTCTCCCCTCCCCCCTCCTACCTTCCTTCCCCCTCCCCCTTTCTTCTCTTTCTTTGTATTTTGATAAAGCCTCACTATGTAGACCAGTCTGTCTGGCTTGGATCTTGTTATATAAACTATGCCAGTCCTGAATAGCCACCATAGTGCTTAGATTACACCTGTGCTCTGCCACAACTCATGATAGAAAGTTTAAAATGTTTTATGTCTAATCAGTAACACTAAAACTGTGCTTTTGTGAGGACTACATGAGGTAAAATTTTAAGTCCCAGATTCTCAATTTTTGTTATGCTTCTATCTCATAAACACATTGTAAATTGAAGTTTTGCAGTTCATGTAATGCACCCGCCTGCCTCCTTAGCATTAACTTAGGAGCACATGGTGCTATGGAGGGTTGGTGTTTTCTTCACAACCTAAGGCTGAGCTAAACAGAGTAGGAGTGGCTGTGCACTGCCCTGCCACCACCCAGACTTGAAAGAGAAATCAAACCAATAGAAAAGTAGAAATACAAAGGCATATTTTCTACTGAATACATATTACTTCAGTACCTGTAGTAGTAATTCAAGCCACCACAACTGAGAACCATCTGTATACCTTGTTTCTGACTCAGTTTGGTCCCTGTACCACTGGTTCCATTTTTGTTCTATATCATCCTGTTCTGTTAACTGCATTTTAAGACACTTTCCCAGTCAACATAGCTGAATTATAACAATTTTTAATATTTACATATAATTTTAATATTATATATAGGATGTAGCTTACCAGCAGAGCACTGTAACTGCTCTTTCTTTAGGCTGCCAGCTTCCAAACAATAACAAGGAGACTTCTTATTAAATATGAAAGCTTGGCCTTATCTTAGGCTTGTTCCCAACTAGCTCTTAAAACTTAAATTAACCCATTTATATTCATCTACATTGTCTTCTCAGTGTTATATATTCAAATTCCTCTACATCTGGCTCATTAACCTTCTGCCTCAGCTTCTTTCCCAGAGTTCCTGTCTCTCCCTGGAAGTCCTGCCTATTCTCTCCTGCTTAGCTATTGGACATTAATCTCTTTATTAAACCAACCAGAAGGCACCTTAATCAGGTAAAGAAGGACAGAGACACATCCTCACACAGTGTACAAAAAAATTATCCCTGCAGAGCACTTGCCTTGCATGTGTAGGACTCTGATTCAATCCCCAGTACTGTACATGTGAGCATGCACACATGTGTATGCACACTCACACATGCAAACACACACACACACACACACACACACACACAGTTAACATAATGACATATTCTCATAAATGTGATACCCTAGTTTGCTTTCTATATATGTGATAAACACCATAAATCAAAAGCAACTTGGTGAAGAAGTGGTTTATTTTTTTCTTTTTATAGCTTACTGTCCATCCTGAATGGAAGTCAGGGCAGGAACAGAAGCAGAGACCATGGAGGAGATATTACATACTGTCTTACTTCTCACTGCTCACTCAGCTTACATTTTTATATAACTCAATACCATCTGCCTTGGGGTTGCACCATCCACAGTGCAACAGATCTTTCTTATACCAATCATTAATCAAGAAAATTCCCCACAGATTTGTCTAAAGGCAATTTGATTCAGGAAATCATTCTATTAAAGTTCCTTCCTCCCAGATGACCCTAGCTTGTATCAGATTGAGAAAAACTTAACCAGAACAGGTGATTCTTCAGTTACCACATTTGTATCATTTTAGCCTGTGTGGTTATATAGCATGCATAGTGACATATCTAAAAA